GGGCCACCAGCTGCTGCTTCTCAGGGGCCTTGGGCCTTTTTGAATCACCGGGCCCCGGGGCACCTGCCCCCTTTTCCCGCCCTCTTGACGGGCCTGGAGTAGCCGCGTGTGCGCTAACCTGTGTAGCCACGGAGCTCCGGGGTAGCCTAGCCTCTCCGCTAGGATTGTACTCCGGTAGATACTGCCCGTGGCAGTGTTGCATGCCCCCTCCAAGCACCCCCCGCTGTAGCACAGCCAGATCCTACGTCTGCCCGTGCTGCTGGGGAAATTCAGTGGTTTAAAACAAACAAAAGGAAGTCAACCTGTGGAACTCCTTGCCAGAGTCCAGGCCTCCGGGCAGGGGGGTTAGTGCCCGGAAAGGTGCACTGTCAGTCAAGAAAGAGGACTAGATACAAGAGGACTAGATAAATTCATGGGGGATCAGTCCGCCAACCGTGATTAGCCAGGCTAGGCAGGAATGGTGTCCCTACCTCTGTTTGTCAGAGGCTGGGATAGGTGACAGGGGAGGGGTCATTTGGTGATTCCTGGTTCTGTTCGCTCCCTCTGGGGCCCCTGGCATTGGCCGCTGTCGGCCGACAGGACTCTGGGCTGGACGGACCTTTGGGCTGACCTGGGCTGACCGTTCTGATGGTCTTATTAGCTTACGGTTGGGCAAAAAGAGGGTAGACTCAGGAGTGGTGGGTGAAAGTGGGGCAGCTAGCAGGAAGCGTTCTGGGCTAATGAGATTTACGAAACGGTGAAAGTTTCTCAGGCCATTGTCTGAGCTCATTACAACGAGACCAGCCTACGCCCTTGAATTAGGGTAACGAGGCTCTCCCGGACTGGCCAGACCAAGTCCTTCCGGTCTGGTGAGTCGGCAGACCTACCTTGAATAGGCTACCCACCAGAGGCGGGAGGTTCCGGATCAGCCTTCCAAAGGAGTGACCAGAAACCTCACTGGCACTTGAGAAATCCAGAAATAGGATTATGACGTGATGCCAGGACTGGATTGCAGGACCCAGGCTGCCCCTTGTGGTCCTCAGTTCCTAGACTGCTGAGAAGGACCCTACCTAGCCGGTCTCTTTTCTCTCTGATTTCTATGCTGTCCTGCAGCGGGGAGTTCCACACATTGATTAGCTGCTGGTAAAAATGGGCGTCCTTCGCTCCGTGTTAAAGGTGTCACTGTTGCATTTCTATAGCCCCAGATCTCTCGCTGCATTGCTCTGCTCTCCCAGGTTATAAGCACGGTGATGAGGGTCTTGGAATGGGTCCCATATGATGAGAGATTAAAAAAACGGGGACTTTTCAGTTTAGGAAAGAGGAAACTAAGGGGGGGATAGATTAGAGGTCTATAAAATCATGACTGGTATGGAAAAAGTGAATAGGGAAAAGTTATTGACTTATTCCCACAATATAAGAACTAGGGGTCACCAGATGAAATGAACAGGCAGCAGGTTTAAAACAAACCAAAGGAAGTTTTTCTTCACCCAGCGCACGGTCAACCTGTGGAACTCCTCGCCAAAGGATGTGGTGAAGGTTAGGACTTTACCAGGGTTCAAAAAAAAGCTGGATAGATTCATGGAGGTTCAGGCCATCCATGGCTACTAGCCAGGAGGGTAGGAAGGGTGTCCCTAGCCTCTGTCTGGAGATGAATAACAGGGGAGGGGTCACGTGAGGATTCCCTGTTGTGTCCCCTCCCTCTGGGGCACCTGGAATTGGCAGGTGGATGGACACTGGGGTGGATGGACCTTTGGTCTGGCCCAGTCTGGCCGCCCTGATGTTCTTATGATTGTTTCGTCCTTCCAAGAGGGAGATCTGGATTCCGACCCCTCCCTGATTTTGTGCTTATCTGGGGATACGAAGCCCTGGGGATTTGCCTCTCCTGCACATCGGTGTCAGGATCCCTGCCTTCCCTTTGCTGCCGGTTCTCTGCCAGCCAGTTTTTACTCAGTCCCCACCTGTCGGCCTGTTTTCTACCAGCGCTGGGATGGTGGCTTCCTTGCTGTTTCCTGATGCCTGGTCTGTCTGGGACACGGCTGGCTTCACTGACCAGTTGATCCTTTTCTGTGGTTAAGCCCAGTTGTTATTTCTGTGCAGCGCCCCAGAATTCCCAATCAATGCTCCCTTCCAATCATTTCCATCCCCGTGCGCATTTTTTGCCCACCCGTGTGCGGAATAAATTGTGTTATGTGCACCGAGGCACGTGCGAACGTGCACCACCTCTCAAAACAGCACGCCTAGTGGGGGGCGCTCTGCTCATCAGTTGACCCTCTCCTGCGTGGCCGCCCACGCGCACCGCTTCCGAGGAACGCCGATCCCAAATCTCTTCTTGGTTACATGGAGGAGCTGCTGCTCGTAACGCTGACAGCCTCTTTGGGCCTCTCACCACTTCCGTTGTTTGCCGTCTGCTTTCTTTTCCCGGTGGTGGCTTTCCTCCCCTGGCTTTTACCGTGGTGGGATTATCTTCCCTGGCGCTTTCGGCCTCTTTTCTCTTCCCTTTCCCGGGCCGCCTGTAGCCGTCGGGCTGCTCTTCCCCTGTGACTGCTCACGCCAACCCCCCCGGCCCGGCATCTTGCGCCGTCCCAAAGCTCTTGAAACCAGAACAACCCCAGCAGCACCGTGAGTCCCCGGCGCCGTGGCCTGCGCAGGGTGACGGAGACTCAAGCGGGCCACAGACGCTGGGCACCAGACTCCCACCAGATCTGGGGGCGGTTTCCCTGTCGCAGACGGGCCGGGAAGTGACTGTTTCGTTTCCTCCCGTCCCTGCTTTTCGGGTCCTTTCCCGTCACGACCATTGGCAGCTGGGAGGGGTGCTCACGAGGCGGAGGGGGAGGGGGAACGTGCCTGTCAGAGGGGCGCTCCGGGGGGCAGGTGGCACAGGAGAGAGGTGGGCCCGGCTGGAATGGGCATTTCTGGGGCACTGCCGGGAGCCGGGTGGGGCCCAGAGGC